TTAAATAATGTTTTATATTCAAAGTATTTGAAAACTAATTTAAAAAGCAATAAATACAACTCAAACCAAATAACAGATGCTTATTTTTGTGATAAAAACAAGAGTCTCCTATGGGGTGACCAAAATGTTTGAGGCCAAGAAGATTTAATATCCTGTGGCATATCTGAAACAATGTTGCAATTCTTGGCTATGCATTTTTAAAAATATGCAAATATAGAACATTGAGACCATATTGTGCGTTCTGTTCCTCCTGGGAGACATAATAGTTAATCATAATGTATCTGTGACTCAAAATATATTCTCCCTTCTGTATAAGAATATACCAGAGAAAGAGAGGGCACTAAAAATCACACAAAGAGATTTATAATCTGCTGTTCTCTACAGATTCATCCCAAGGAAAATGGAATTTAGAATCCTGGTAAGGCTGCAAGACTAGAGTAAAACCCATCTCTAAACTTCAAGAAAAACTGTCTTTCTGTAACAAAGAAGCTAAAGTTTAAAGTACGCCTGAAGTAAAGTGGACTTAAGGTAAGGGACATAAAAATAAATACTGAAGTCTAGTTAGAAGTGTTCTTGCAAAGAATATGTAAAATATTCTGCCATAGTCCATTTCTCTACAGCAATAGTTCTTAATCCCTTTATATACATCTATGGATCAAATGAAGGAAAATTTGAAGTACCAATACCTGGACCCCAACCCTCAAAAAATCTGTTTCAATTGGTCTAGGTTGAGCTTGGACTGCAATATTTTTTTAAACTATCCCATATGGAGTTAATATGTAGTCAGAGCTGAGAATTACAATTTCATATTATCATTTTCCCAAAATATGATCCATGAATCTGGGATTCTAAATTTGTTGTGAAAAAAAGGGAGAGTGAATTCCATTTATAAGTTAAGAAAATTCTGCTTACCAAGGTCACAGGTCTTTCTTCAATTCCCTTCCTTGCTATGATTTCACCATGGAAAAATACATTTCCTCACACCACTAATTTTAGGCTCTGATTCATGGGCATGACATATACCACATCCAAGCAGAGGTTTTGTAAGTCCTGTGTGGTTTAGCGCGGCATGCCCTCCAAGTCATTCACCATGAAAAGAGCTTGCCTTGGGTAGATTTTGCCCCTTCACTCAGGTACCAGAAAGCATGATGCCTGAGGTGACTAGACCTATGTCCAGCTGACCCTTAGAGCTGTGAGTGAAAAATACATGTTTTTTATTGCAAACCACTACAAATTTGGCTTTTTTTTTAAATGTAGCATTATCATAGGTAAAACTATATAACTGCTAGCCTTTATCATGACTCTCTCTAGGATCAAAATTGCAATATCAGGCAATTTTGCAAACTTCTATTTCATTATAGAACTTCCTGTTTCAGGAATCATCTCAGATAATTCATTTTCAGCAGAACATGCTATGGCAAATGCAAAATGCGTAACGAACACTTAACAAAATATTTTATGGAACTAGACTGGAATCGTGGGTGACTTTATTGATATCAACCAGAAATTTACCAATTGGAGATAAAGCTTCTATATTCTAAGTATAAATGAAGAAGTAATAACTAGAAAAACTTGGGGGAAAAGCTGAATACTTCATAGAACTGAAGGCATGAAAAAATTTATGTGGGCCAGATCTTGGGTTGGTAGTTAAAATTACAAAGCTGAATAAAGAAGTAATCTAAGTTTTTAAAAATAACTTTATTGAGGAATATTTTACATATCGTGTAATTGATCCATTTCAAGTGTATAATTCAATGATACTTTAGTAAATTTACCAAGTTATTCAACCATCGAAATAAATTAGGTTTCGATTTTCCATTACTCCAGTAATCCTTTATGCATATTTACTGTTAATTTCCCTCTCCTCCATCCCAGTCAATCACCAATCTACTTTCTACCTTCAAAGATTTGCCTTTTCTAGACACATAACATAAATGGAATAATACAATATGATTTCTTATATCTGACTTCTTTCACTGTGTATAATGTTCATCCATATCATAGCATGTATACATGGTTGGTCCTTTTACAGTGGACTAGCAGTCTGCTGTATGGTTATAACACATTTTGTCTATCCATTCTACAAGCTGATGGACAAGCGGGTTATTTTCACTCATGGGCTGTTATGAATAGTGTCAATAAGAACATTGTGTGCAGGTCTTTGTGTGGATATGTTTTTATTTCTCTCCAGTAGATACCCAGGAGTCAATTTCTGGGTTGAGAAGTAATCAGACTTTATGGAGTTTTAGTCCATTGGAAAAGGCAAACACTATATATACAGAAAACGGTGTGATAGTGGCTGTAATCGTGGTACACAATAAATTTGTTGGAAGCAAAGTTACAGGTTCCAGGTACACTTGAGTTGAAAGTATACAGGTAATTAAAAGTTATTAAAGGAAAGAGAATAGGGAGGGTTATTCAAATCAGTAATGACAGGAAGAGTGAAAGCATAACTTGTGAAACAACATGAAAATGCCTCAAAGGAAGGCATTGTTACGCAGTTTGGGAAACTGGCCCAATTCCTGCAATCTGACTCAGGGCTGCATCTGTCCCAGAGGAACAATTTTTCTTTTAAGCACTAAGATGCTGTGAGGTTGGCCTGCTGTCTACTTGAGGTAACTTTTTAAAACCATCAATTTGGGGCTCAGGGATATGCTTTTAAAAATGTTCACAAAAGCATTATATAGTACAGCTTTGCATGGTAGGTCCTGTATGTCACTGAAAGGACTTTGAGTTTTCTGGTTTAGTGTTTTCCACATTTATTCACCCAGTGATCCATAGTAAATGAGCATGCTCACCTGTTGAACCAAGGTAAGCATGCAGCTGCCCCTAGCCAGGGACAATGCAGAAGTCGGGGTCCCCTTGCTGTGGCCCTGAGAGGGGAGGATGTAATTACCTAAGCACACCTGTAACCAATTCATGAAGATGCATGGTGAAAGGAGGAAGAGGAAGAGGGGAAAAATCAATAGGTATTAAAAAGCTTATCTTAGGGATTAATCAGTATGTTCAGTTGAAACAGCCTGCTGCAGGCAGTAAGACAAGTTTGAAGTTATTGAGACATGAAGAAGGAGGAAAAATTGAGATGTTGAATCTGCAATCCAGGCAAGAAACTATGAGAGCTTACCCGAGACAGCCAGTGTAGGAAAGAAAAATGGAGACTGAGTTTAAGAACTATTTAGGGCATCAAATTTGCATGGACTACTGAAGAAAGGGGGAGATTGTAGAACGACTCCTAGTTTATTTATTATAGTTGGTAGCTGAGTTCAGGATGGATACTTCCACTAAGACATAAAATAGAGGAGAAAAAACACGTTTGACAGGATATTTTAGATGATAAATAATATAATCCATAGTAAAAAAAACTGTGCATAATATAATCTAACTGGAACTATTAATTTTTTATGTGCAATTGCAATTGAGGGATGATAAAACATCAAAGACTGATTCATGGAGGAACATCAGCAGAGTGACAGAAGAGTTTTCTGCCATCATTCCCCCCTCGTCCTCCACCACCTGCCACAGAACATTGGTTTTGACAATCTCCATGGACAAGGATACCTTTGTGGGGACCCAGGAGTCTGGTGGAGAAGATCTAGCTCACCACTGGAGCATAAAATCTGAATTAGACGTATTAAATAGTGTAAGGACAGTTTCACTTCTTCACGCTTCCCCAAGGCAGAAGACGTCAATGCCAAGAGAGACCCACATAGACTGACGTTCTTCCTGTGGGGAGAGTGAGAGATGGGGAGTCGTGGCTTCTTCAGCCGTGTGGGACACTGCCCGTGAGGCCCGCTATTTTCATGCACACCCACACTGGAGGCACTGCAACCAGGACTCACACTTGATCAAAGGCCCTGGGTCTTGCTAACTGCTGAGAGGACTCTGACAGGAAGCCGGCCCCAGGGCAGCTGGGGACACTTTGCCTGCAGACCTCCCCAGCCTGGCCACGGGCACCCCCTCACCCACCTCCCCAGCTGTCGGCTCCTCATGCTCACTCCCGTGGACAGTGAGAGCAAGCTTCTACAGACAGCTCACTGGCACACACAGAGAGCCACCCAGCTCTGCAGGGTGGGAGAAGCCCCAAACTTCCCCAAATCTAATAAGAGTAAGAAATGGTAAAAATTGGCAAAACATTTTGCTGTACCCTAAAGTCTGCCTCTAACCAAATTCACATCATCTTATTGTATGGCTTAGCAAGAAAAAAAGTTCACAAGACTCATTTTTCTAAGAGATCAGTCATAATGGATTTTTAGAAAATTATTCCAAAGATCATCTGGAGGAAGCAGGTGGAAAAAGTCAAAATTGTTTTGAAAAATAGGTGCTGTGTGGGACGATCACTTGCTCTCACTAGTTATTAAAACACATGTCATAGAATAATGCTTTTGAAATACTAAATGATTTCTTTGGTCTTGGGTCTGGGTATGACAGGGAAGTCATTAAACATGTCTGCAAGACTATGCCTTTGAATTTCAACAGCCAAACTATCAGTTTCCAGAGGTCCAGGCTGATGTAAAAGCAGTGCTTGTGCAGCAGGGGGCAGTGTGGGTGGTGCTGTTTCACTCCATCCCTTGTCCCCCTGCCTTTGGAACTATGTAAGTCCCTTGAACGTAACAACTTTGCACTGGGGAATAAAAAAGATGTCCTGGGTTTACTGAACTAAATCAGCCTGGAAAGTTGGGGATTAAAATAGAAACCTAGTCTAGGAAAAAAAAATAGGTAGTAGAGGAAAGAATAATTATCAGTGCAAATAATTTATTTTTATATTTGGGACTCTTTTTAAGTTTCTGGCTCACCACCATGTGTGTGTCATTAAAAGCTTTGCTGGTTTCTCCTCTTCCTTGAAAGGTCCTTTATGGTGGACCCTCGTGCTAGCTCACTTCCAAGCCAGGCGTGGAAAGTAAAGCCCATTTTGGAGAGTTGGGCATCACCCACCACCTCAACTTACCCGAGACTGGGGTCTCCCTGCACCAGGGCTCCTGGTGAGAGCCTGCACTCCAGGGAAGCTCTCGTGACAAGGGTGTGATCTGGGATCTCCAGCACTGATCATGCATGGCAGTGACTTTTCTGAGTGGCTTCTTAGGCAGAAGTCTCCACAAACTCCTCAGCTCCTTTTCTATCACTGAGATCAGGTGCTTTAACTTCATGTCTACCAATAGCTGAGTATTGATCATGAAGGATGGAGACGAGGCACAAAGAGAAGGTGGTGATATCCAGAACTGAAAAATATGGGGAACCCAGGAACATGCACGAAAGATTCAAAGAAAACGGGAGAAAAGTCTTTTATTCATCCAGGCTCAGAGCAAATGGTTTTACAAAGCGAACTTCACCCTACTCAACCTACTTTGGCAAGTTAAACCTTATCATAAGATATTTTCAGATCTTAGATCAAGCATCACATACTTGGAGAAAAATCCTTCCTACCATTTCTTCATCCAAGAAAAGTTTAATCAGTTCCATTAGCTAACCTCCTTT